AATTTGAATTATACAGGATCTGCATGTCCATTTTCATTTGTTTGTTTTGCATTTACAGAAACGTTGCTCAAATCAAAACTGCTACAAGTAGTTGTAGTGCCCTGGTCAATCTGTCAGTCTTGGTCATGGCAATGAAGGCCAGTGTTGCTGACCCTGCAATGGCCCGATTGCTTGTTCAGTTGCATGACTCCTTGGAAAGCTTCAAGGGCCGCCGCATCAACCAGTTGGACTTTATCAGGGACGTTGAGTCGTTTGTCTATGACAGGTTGTGTCTAAGTTGCTGGATTGGAATGATGCCAAAGATTGTCAAGTTCGCTTCTGAAAAGGATTATAAGAACCTCAAATGTGTGAGCAAGGACTGCAGATGTGAGCATGACTAGGGAGATGGCTTCCCAAAAATGACTTATAGAGCAACGCCACTTCAAGTGGGCGAGACTTCTATGTACAATAGACTGGTATAGACTAGCCAGCCAAATAATTATGGGAAAACCCATCTGTCGTAGATGTTTTCACACCTAGTGACAATCGAGCGTGGGTTGGGGAAAACCATTTGTCCATCTGTCAGCAGCAGGGGCTTGAAGTGAATTGACTAAAGGAAAGTCAGTGATTCTGATCTGAAGCCGCCTCAGGTCACAAGCCTTACTCGTTACCAAGCCTGGGGGCCTGGATCTCTCAGTTTTGAATTGAACCATACTGCCAAAATCAAACACAATACTGTCATCTTTTAAATTCTCACCGAGATACTGACCTGGCTGACATGTCGGAGGGCAAACAAACACTATTTGTTTTTACGTGTATTTGTGACACTGTTGCCTTTTATTGCCATTGACAACTGTTGTCATTGCGCCCTTGCAGGTCAAGCTGAATCTGGGTAGGCCAGGCGGAATGGAACATGTTTGATTCTTGCCAATCAATTTCGAAATGGAGACTTGAGCGACTTTATTGGCTGGACCTATCAATCTGGACTCAAGATGGCTCAAGTACTATCAAGTCACCAAACATGGTTTATCATTTGACAGCTTGACTATTTCAATTGCTAGATTTCGTCTGTCAGTCAACCTATGTGGATTGTTGTCATCACTCAGTTGGTCTTAGTTTCAATTCAAAGGTCAGAAAAATCGTACCGGCCAGGTGTTTACAGTCCTGGCAAGTGACAGGCGTGACTTGGGGCATGTCCTTGCATGTTCCGGGAATGCAATTCAAACATGTTGCCATGTTGCAGTGGGAATCACATATGACCAACTGCTTTATAGTGTTTGTTGTGGGATACGCCGAACAGATCGGTAGGGTGTGTGTGGGGCCGAATAGATCGGTACGGTTTGTGTGGGGCCGAATAGATCGGTACGGTTTGTGTGGGACCCGAATAGATCGGTACGGTTTGTGTGGGACCCGAACAGATCGGTAGGGTTTGTGTGGGACCCGAACAGATCGGTAGGGGTTACAAGATGACACACACTTGAACGGCAGGGTCTACAAGATGACACCGACCAGAGCGGTGGGGTCTACAAGGCTGGTCGTACTAGAATGGTGGGGGTACACGTCACTGAATGCAGAAAAATGCAATTTTATGCAAATTAAGTATCAAAAAGTATCATGAAGTCTTCAAAGATATGTAAACATATAAAAAGATATGTCAACATATTAAAAGATACAAACAAGTAAAAACATGCAAAAATAATACAAATAATGCATAAATGAGGGAAAACATGAAAAACATTGCAGTTTCCTTGCGTGAGCTTTATGTCATATCAATGACAAGTCATGGTTGGTGCTGGAGTGTCATTTGTCCATCAAGCAATCAAAGATTGTACTTGTCATCTGTCTGCCATGTCAGTGTCTGCGTCTTCTCGGCGTGTCAAGAGAGCTCGGGTGGCAAGTGGGCCTATGGCTATGGGCGGTGCCATGCCTGGCGCTATGGGTATGGCAGGCGCTATGCCTATGGGTGGCTTTGGCGGAATGATGAACCCAATGATGATGGGCCCCATGTCACATCATCCCATGATGGTGCCGCAGCACATGATGTCGCAGCAGCACCCTATGATGGGGATGGCTCAGCAGCACATGATGATGCCACAGCACATGATGATGCCTCAGCAAATGATGGTTCCGCAACAGCAGACAATGCGTCAGCAGCAGGTCCAGCAGAACCAAATGATGCAGCAGCAGCGCATGTTGGTTCCAGCGGCCCAAGGGTTTGAGGAAGAAGATGACCTGGATGATGAGGATGACCTCATTGACCAAGGCCACAGCCAAAAACAATAATTAATAACCTGTGATAATTAATAATTAATAACCTGTGATAGTATCTACATAATATGGTAGTCTGTGTAATAGTTTTACTGTTGTCTAGTTATAAGTTATGTTCAGGAGCCATCTTCCTTCAGGTGATGACACTCTTGGAGATGCCCCAGACCTTCAAACAGTGGCCACACCACAGCGAGTTGCCATGGTCGCACCTGCAGCTGTTCCTACACGTCCAGGCCAATCAGGCCAATCATCTGACTTGCCTCCTTTTGATGATGATGGCTATGCGCTGGACGATCGCTTTGTGGGTAGAGGAACCACATTTGTGAAGAACATCCCACGCAAGAGGCTTTCCCAATGTTTGATGGCAATCTCACCATCCTTAGAGCCTGAGTTCACAGCCGAGTGTTCGAGCAGAGGCCTTCTGTGCCTCTTGTGGTGCTACACCCGGGTGAAGCCAACAGTGAAGATCTGCGATTTGGGTACTTTGGCGAAAGTTAGTTGTCTTACTTTTTAGGCTTATGGATGGAAAGTAGTTCTGAAGTAGTTAAGTAATCAGAAACTAACTTCGACTGACAAGTGGCAGGCATTGATCGATACTCCTGCTTCAACCAGAAGATGAAGAACCGACATCAGAAGAAACTGTGCGGCAATTAAGACAAAACTGTTCTGTCATTGCTAGGAGAAATTTGGTTGATTAAAGGCCTAAATTTTTCTCAGGATCCTTGATGGCATTGGGCGTGAGCAATTCCGTGAGCAATTCCATGCTTCTGTGACCCAGCGACTGCCTTTGGTTGCTACTGATTCCTCTTTGTTTGCGTTGGCCAGTGAGATTGGATGGTGTGCATCATGGGTGGCCCCTACCAAGCGCACAAATGTTGATGCATCTGGGGACCTGCAGACTGTGATGGGGCATGGGCCTCCACCACCTGCACCTGTGGGGCATGGGCCTCCAATGGCGCCACCTGGGTTGCGGGTTGCTGCAGCAGCTCCGCCAGCTCCTACTGCTGTGGCAGCCCCTGTGGCTCAGGCTGCTGCGGCAGCCCCTGTGGCTCAGGCTGCTGTGGCAGCCCCTGTGGCTCAGGCAGCCCCTGTTGCTGTGGCAGGTGGGCATTCGCCTGAGCCTGCTGCCCCTTTGATTGTGACACCACCATCTCGGAGATCTTTGACAGCGGCGGCTGTTTCTCCACCACCATCTCCACCAGCTTCTCAGGTGTCCAGGGATTTGTTTTTATATGATATATGATATGAAATCTGAAAGTTTGACCATGGAACCATGACATGCTTTGAACTGACAATTCAATCAGCCAGGAGGTGGTTGTGGCTGCTCCAGTTCCTGAGCAACAGCCTGCCCAAGTTCCTGAGCAAGAGCCTGCTCGAGTCCCTGAGGAGGAAGATGGCCCCATTTGCATCATTTGTCAGGACACCATGGCCCGCCCCCAGGACAACTTGGCCCTGTTCTGCGGACACGTGTTCCATCGCCTATGCGTTTTGGAATGGCGTGTGTGCGCCAACAAGACGGAGATGGACTGTCCTCTGCGATGCCGACCTGAAGGTGATGATCCTGCAGCTCCGTAACCTGGCTACAAATTGCTGTAGGTTATACCTGGTGCACTTACTCTGATTACTTTCTCTGTTTATCAATCAACATATGTTTTTTACTAATAGACTAATCTGGGTTCGACTCAGGATTGCGGCTCCTCATGAGGAAGTTGCAGCTGGTGATGGGGGAGAGGCTGCTGCCGACACCGCCGGACCACCTGAAGCTGCAGTCTCTCCTGAAGCCCTTCGACAAGCCCAGGCTGAGATTGATAGCTTTGACAACTGATAGCTGATTTGATCTGACGTGAAGAGCATCTTAGTATCTCAACTTGAGAAGTTAAATTCGTTCAAAATGGAATGCTAGTTATCATTTGAGTCAGTCATGTAGAAAAGATGACATGAGATGCTGGGGCTAGGACTGCTGGGGCTGACATATTCGAATCAGAATTTGTTGGAGAACCCATGACTATCCTAGTATCTGGATAACAACAACTAACAAGTTTTGTTGACATCTTGAATTTGTTGGCCCCATGCTGCAGTTCAGGGGAATTCTTTGATTGATTGCGCCAAAGGCCTTTGTCTTGTAACAGTGGTAGTGAGGAAGCCATCTGTGTGACCTCTGTGTGACCACTGTGGTTGACATGCGGCTCTGGCCAAATGATGTTTTGGCAGAAAATTATTAGGAAAGAAAGGGAACTGAAACGTTCCTGACTGCTGAACCTGCGTTGGCCTTTTTGTGGCTGTGCGCCGCTCCAGTTGACCAACTGGCTGTGGCAAATCCGGGATTTCATTTGAGCCGAGCGGGCAAGGGAAAAGTCTCATGTCATCATGTCACCTCTGTTTGTTTGAACTGTTTTTGGAAGAATCTACTGAAAGATAAAGCTGTTGACATAAGTTTTAATCACATGTTGTCACCGTCTCTGACAGGTTGTCTTCATTGCCTACAAGTCTGGGTGGCCCAGGTGAACCCTTTAGTACAGCGATGTCAGTTTGATTTGGTGTGTGGCTTACACATGTCATGTGTAGTTGCAATGGCTCTGAGACAAAGTTATGACAATAAAACTAACTATGTTTAACTTTAAAGCTTGTTTCAAACTAGTCGTTTGTCAGTCACACTGGCTCACTTGTCAATGCTGACATCAGTGATCAGTCATGTCAATCATCAATCAATTGTCATCAATTGTCATCAATTGTCACAGTTGGTTGCCGATGTCATGGACATCCCTGCCGACTCTCCGGCGCTGTTTATTGAAGAGTTGTCTGACTCTTTACCAACATGTGTGTGCTACCATGTCGAAGCAGAAGGCAAATTTGCGTGGTCCTTGCCCTACTACTTTGATTCAATCTCCCAAGCCGTTGAGACCGAAGGAGGTGGCCAATCACAGCTGGAGCTGAACAAGTTCACCAAAGGAATTGCAAAGCGTCTTCAACAACAAGATGTCCAGGATTTGCTAGGCAATTGCTTTCATGCCAGATCGGCCGATGGGAGGTGGGAAACCAAACATGCATTTACTTCGAGTTATCCCCACCAAGACATCTATACGTTTTGTTACTGGCAAATCTTCTGGCATTCTATCTGACATATCTTCTGGCATTTTATCTGGCATATCTTCTGGCATTCTATCTCACATATCTTCTGGCATATCTTCTGGCATTCCACCTGGCATATCTGCTGCAATATGTTCTGGCATATCTTCTGACATTCTATCTGGCAAATCTTCTGGCGTTCTATCTGGCAAACATTCTGGCACTTTATCTGGCATACCTTCTGACATTCTATCTGGCATACCTTCTGGTATTCTATCTGGCATGTCTTCTGGCATTCTATCTGGCAAACATTCTGGCACTTTATCTGGCATATCTTCTGGCATTCTTTCTGAGACTCTATCTGGCGTTCTATCTGGCATATCTTCTGGCATTCTATCTGGCCGTTGAGGTCCAGCGGTGCTCACTGAGCTCGGAGGGTCCCAGGTTGAGGTCCACAGGTGCCCAGTGCGCTCAGACCCTTGCAGTTGAGGCTAGCAGTGCCCACTGCGTGCGGAAGTTGGCGAAGAGCTTGGCGCAGAGTTGGCCAAGCGGAAGTGAACATGGGAGTGGATGCACAGGTGGTGGAGGAGAAGCTGGAGGAGAGGGAGGAGGCGGAGGAGGAGAACAACTGTGATAAAATCTAACAACCCTCACCTGGCAGGTGGGGAATAATAAAAATTACTTTACTTCGAGTGATCCCCACCATGACATTTCTTGTTACTGGCAAATCTTCTGGCATTCTATCTGATATATCTTCTGGCATTCGATCTGGCATTCTATCTGGCATATCTTCTGGCATTCTACCTGGCATATCTTCTGGCATATGTTCTGGCATATCTTCTGCAATATGTTCTGGCATATCATCTGGCACTCTATCTGGCACATCTTCTGGCATATCTTCTGACATTCTATCTGGCATTCTATCTGGCAAACATTCCGGCATACCTTCTGGCATTCTATCTGGCATATCAGAACTCATTCTATCTGGCATATCTTCTGGCATTGTATCTGGCATATCTTCTGGCTTCCTATCTGACATTCTATCTGGCGTTCTATCTGACATATCTTCTGGCATTCTATCTGACATGCTATCTGGCGTTCTATCTGGCATATCTTCTGGCATTCTATCTGGCTGTTGAGGTCCAGTGGTGCTCACTGAGCTCGGAAGGTCCCAGGCTGAGGTCCAGCGGTGCTCACTGAGCTCGGAAGGTCCCAGGTTGAGGTCCAGCGGTGCCCACTCCTATATCGCACGCCGGCAGTTGAGGTCCAGCAGTGCCCACTGCAATCGGAAGTTAGCGAAGAGTTGGCAAGGTGGACGGCAGTTGAGGTCCAGCAGTGCCCACTGCATGCGGAAGTTGGCGAAGAGTTGGCAAGGCGGAAGTGGACATGGAAGTGGATGCAAAGGTGGTGGAGGAGAAGCTGGAGGAGAGGGAGGAGGAGGAGAAGGAGGTGGAGGATGGATAAAATCTAACCCTCACCTGGCAGGTGGGGAAAAAACATGTCATTATTTAATGTTAAAATGACAAATGACAAGACTCAACTTGAACTGTGAATCAGTGAAGGTCAGATCAGCTAGATGTCCCAGCGGTCACAACAGCTGGTTTGATTTTCAGCCTCTTCGATTTGGCAGAGACAGCTCGCATAGATGCCAAGTCCAGCTTTGCCATCAGCTACTTGAAGAAGTGCTCTTTAGTGTCTGTTGGCCGTTTGAATCGGGATGGTGGTGGATTTTGCTACTTGTCTGATCACAGAAGACTTAAAGTGGAAGGCTCAGGAGTCGTTGACATTCAGAGCTTCATGGTCAATGATCCTGACATTCATCGGAACGTCATGACTGCCTTTCGTAAACTGTGGGATGACATGAAGGAGCCAGGTATTATTTCTTCTGAGTTCACTGCTGCCTCCTTCATTGACCTGACAATCTTCCTGGCAAAGTGCGTCAAGTTCAAACGAGACAGAAAAATGAAGACACTGAGCTCAAATGGGCTATCCCTGAGAAATTTGCTGCGCAATGCTGTTGTGAAGTTTTTAGCGGCTTCACTTGATGTGGTTGTGATGCAGGCTCAATTGGCTGGAGACCTCGAAGAGCGGGAGATCCCATCTCGAGGCAAGAAGAGATCAAGTTCATCAAGGCAGCTTGCAGCCTCTGACAATGCTGATGATGGTGAAGGTCCCAAGCTCCGGAAGGGTCGAATTTCCGTAGAAATTGGCACCATTTGGAACATGGTCGATCATGCCAAGCAGATCGGAGTGTCTTTACCAGTGTATCTGCAAACGCAGGAAAAACAGAAGCATGGAGGGTGCCATGGTCAGGCTGCTCAACTTTGGATTCGTAAAATCCACAACATGTATGTCAGTCGAGCCACCTTGGGCTTTAGAGATTGCGAACACCTCAACTTGATTGCTGATGCTTCCCGTTTCTCGGGTCGGGACACTCTCATTGGCGCTGCTTGGAGCCCGGAGAGTGGTGTGGCCGCATATGTCAACAATCAATTCTTGCGCAGTGGCAAGTTGATTGGACCAGGGGACTTCTTACTTGATGGCACGATCGAGGTTTTGGCTGCACAGCGCAAAGTTGAGCGTCAGGCAGCGTACTGTTTATTACAGGCCCTGTCAAACCAAATAAAACATCTCACAGGAGGAAGCAAAACAATTTGCAGTTATGATTACGCTGGCACTGACTTGGAGCTTGCGCTCTTGAACTTGACTCCTGGTCACCTTCGTGTTGTGACCAATGATGGCAATGGTGCAATTCGAGACATCTTTGTGCAGGACAAAGACAAAAACACGATCAGGAAGATTGATTTGTCAATGGCTCACACTGCCAACATCCTGACGCTGGGCATGGACCAGGGCACGTCGGGGACAGCACTTGCTGGCTTCATTTGTGGCACCAGCACCCACCTCATCCACTTCACATGGGACCCATACCACCGGTGCTCTCGTGACATGCGGCTGGCCACAAGCATGAAGACAATTGCTGCATCCGACACCAGAACCCGCATCAAATTGAACTTGCATCAAGCCCATTTGGCGTCCACGTATTTGTTTTCAGTCAACTACAAGCCATATGGCAACGCTGGATGGCACCAGTCCAAACTGGAACTGGTGGAGCATTTCATGTCAATGGAGGATGAGGACTGACAAACAGTTGATAGACAGTTGATAGACAGTTGACGTTGATAGACAGTTGATATATCCAGATAGACAATTTGACATTTATAAGTTTATTATAATTACTCGTCTACTTCGAGTTATCCCCATGACATTTGTACGTTTTGTTGCTGGCAAATCTTCTGGCATTCTATCTGACATATCTTCTGGCATTCGATCTGGCATTCTATCTGGCATATCTTCTGGCATTCTACCTGGCATATCTTCTGGCATACCTTCTGACATTCTATCTGGCAAATCTTCTGGCATTCTATCTGGCAAACATTCTGGCACTTTATCTGGCATATCTTCTGGCATTCTATCTGACATATCTTCTGGCATTCTATCTGGCAAATCTTCTGGCATTCTCTCCGGCATACCTTCTGGCATTCTATCTGACATATCTCCTAACATTTTATCTAGCATATCTTCTGGCATTCTATCTGGCATATCTCATGGCATTTTATCTGGCATATCTTCTGGCATTCTATCTGGCCGTTGAGGTCCAGCGGTGCACACTGGGCTGGGCAGGTCCCAGGCTGAGGTCCGGCAGTGCACACTGAGCTGGGAAGGTCCCAGGTTGAGGTCCAGCGGTGCACACTGAGCTGGGCAGGTCCCAGGTTGAGGTCCAGCTGTGCCCACTGAGCTCGGACGTTGGAGAAGAGCTTGGCGAAGTTTTGGCAAGGCAACAGTGGAGGTGGAAGTGGAGGCAGAGGTGGTGGAGGAGATGCTGGCGGAGGAGGAGCAGGAGGAGGATAGCTAGCCGAGGAGGAGAACAACTCTGATAAAATCTAACAACCCTCACCTGGCAGGTGGGGAATAATCAAAATATCTCTTATAAATTATTACAAATAAATATGTCTCAGAATCCAAACACAGCTTACACTCTCTATTGCTTTCTTGCTTGGACCATCTTGGCACACTAACTTTGCTTGGAGGAATCTCCTTTGTTTGCAGAGTACAGCGGCTTGATTTCCCTTGACATGGGCGGTGTGCCAATTCGATCTCAAGCTGACATGAGGGAAGTTTTTGAATCATTGGTCGACCAGCTGAAGAGTGCTCAATGCAAGCTTGCTCCTGTCAAGACATCAAGGTGGTTCTCGTGGCACGACACATGCCATGCGCAGATGCGCGAATGGTGGGCACTCCGGATGATGCTCCTGCATGAGTTTCCAGACGAAGTCATTGTGGATGACACTAGCAAGGGCTGGGCTTCTTTGCGCAGTGATGCTGGTGGCTTGAAATTAGCTTTGCACTGCACAACCTGGAGAACGTGGTTATCAGTGAATGTGCTCTACATTGGTGGGCAGCCGTTGTGGTCCTGGTATTCGAACTTGGTGAAGAAAGTCAAGTCCCCGGAACAAGGACTTGCTCAGTTGATCTCTTTGGCTTCGAACAAGTGGCAAGAAGCACAGCAAGTCATGGACTTGGTGGCCCTCTTCAGCAACAGTGAACAGTCTGACAGGATCCAAAATTACTTGGCGATTTCGCCGAAACATTTGGGTCCTGATGCAACCTGCAACTTCGCATCTTTTGTGGAGGAGCTTTTTCATTATGTCCTCAGTTTGCTTGAGAGACGGTCGAGCTCATTGAGCAAGCATAGCTGTCCGCCAGAGGTGTACAGCACATTGCTGTCCGAGAATGACGATGATGTCCAAAGAACTTTGGGTTTGTTGATGGGTGACTGGCAGCACTTTCTGAAAGTGCAACAATCCCGTGGGAATCAATTGTTGTCTGCCGACTTGCAAAGCTCAGTGGATCCAACTGTTCGATTGGTGTATCAACTATGCGAGGTTGGTCGTCACGATGGTGCCAAAAGAATCTTGAGATCACTGCTTTATGTGCTCCCCGACACGAAGCTGATCGAGGACGTGCACGGCAAAGTGCGAAATGATGCACGTCTCAACACCAACAAGCGTCAAACGTTTGCACAGGTGCAGCAAGTGATCCGAGACAGTGATGCTTTTGAATCACGTGGGATCAACCATCCGGCCAAACTGCAGAAAAGTATCTTCCAATCCCGATGGAAGAAAACAAAGGGAGGTCAGAGCTGGAAAGCTTCTTTTGTCCCCAAGACAGAAAAATTGCCCGAGAAGTATGGACGTATCCTTGGCACCAAATGCTGGAACACAATTTCGGAAGAGTTGCTGCATCGATCAGCGGCTGCGTGGGAACTTTTGCGCTTCCACACCAAGCACTCGATTGCCTCCAAGCTGAATGACACTTGGTGTGGTTGATGACTGACAAATGACATTTTTTTTTGGTTATAACTTTAAGCCTTGAATAACAACATATATCAATATATCTAACTCTGGTCCTGACTGAGGATGCGCAGCTTTGCATCATCCTGCATCCAGGGATGGTGTTTCGTACCTTGCTGCAGATCACACCAGAGGATCCTGACCCGGAGTCCATCTTCTTATGTGTTGCCAACCTAGATTGGGGAGTGCTAAGCTGGCCTCTGGTTCAACTGGATGATGGTCTTCTGGAATTGGATCGGGCAGGCAGTTTGCGGTGGCATTTTGTCTTCAACTTGGAGTGTCATGAAGCATGCGTTGCTGAACCTGTTTTCAGTGCTGACAAGATTGTCTTGAAAGCAGTTGAACAATGGCTACCAGCTTGCCAATGCATGATTGGTGCTTATTCTGCTGACATTGTCTTCAGGAAGTTGGTGACGCTGGCAGAACTTGGGTTCAACGTGAAGAATGGCAAGTCTTTCTCACGGCCTGACCTGTTGAAACAGATCGCCTTGGGCGCTAGCAAAGGTGATGCAGACTTTGCCCAGGCAGTTGTGGAGCAGGAAGAGGCATCCAAAAAGAAACGGTCCAAAGTTGTCAATCACCATACCGAAGCTGGTGGAAGTCAGTTTGCAAACCTCTTGATGGAAAACATGGACAAAGAAGATGCGAAGGAGTTTGCAGATGAGTTCAAAAGGCAGGAAAAGATGGTTACTAAGAGGAAATGGCAGAAATGGAAACAAGACGCTGATGATGAAACTTGGCTGGTTTATGTAACATGCTTTCACTGTGGAAGTCATCTGTCTGTCAGACAATCATTTTAAAAAACCCAGACAATATCATATCAGAAAAGTATTTTGATTCCAGGAATAAATATACTTTGACATTTGAGCAAATTTTGATTCTAGTAAGTGACCAGGTTGGATTTCCAAATTCATGACAAGTGAGTCAGGTTCAAAAGGCGAAACGCCTGGCCAAGAAAGCGAGGGCAAAGGCAAAGTTTGACAAAACGCAGCAGAAAGGCAAAGGCAAAGGACGTGGGCGAGGAAAAGGGCGGGGCAAAGGCAAGGCAAAAACCAAGCAGACTGACAGTGAGGCTGAAGAAGTCAAAGCTGAAGAGGCTGAACCTGAAGAAGTCAAAGCTGAGGATGCTGATGACTCAGAAAGCCCCAGAGTCAAGAGAAGATTGACCTACGATGGCGGCTTTGACGATTCAGACAAAGGAGACAAAGCTGAGGGCCCTGCTCCTGTCACTCCTGAAATTGTTGGACAGCTTTCGACTCCTGGCGCTCCTGAAGTCTTCGGCGATGCCGACATCTTTGGCGAAGTTGGTGACATTTCTGGTGACAAGAACGATGACAAGTTTGACAAGGACAGTGGCTATAGCCCCAGCATTGAGGACCAACTTGTTCCTGAATCGCTGAACCCTTGTACTTTAGAGCCTGTCGCAGAGGCTCTTCCTGAAAACCCTGTCGCAGAGGCTCTTCATGAAAACCCTGGCGGGCAAAGCGCTGCATCTTCTGGAGATCCAATGGTGCCTTTCAGAGGTGGTGGTGCCGGTGGGCCCAGTGGGCCAAGAGGGCCAAACCAACATCACACACCAGACACTCTGGCATCAGTTTCGCCTCCTGGATCTTCCATTTTGCTAAACTGTGTCTTGGCCATCGTTTTGGCATGTTTTGGCAAAGTTTATGATGACAACTGATGACAACTGATGAAGTGTGACATGACAGTGACATCATTTTCTGTTCAATCAAACCATGATTATTTGTCAACTGGTGGCAGGCAATGATCACAGATGGATCGTGAATTTCCCCCAACTTGAACTGCGGAGCAAGTCAAAGTCCTTTGACAAGAGCTCAGAGAGCAGCTGGGTTGGGATGCTGAAATTCATTCACAAGTATGCCTGGGATCAATGGAACACCTATTGTGACAAGCATGGCAACTGAACTAGTAAGTTAGCAAATTTTCATTTTTGCAACTTAATTTGGGTTTGCTTTGGGTTTGTGAGTAACAGTTCTAAACTGGTTTGACCTTGTTGCCTAGGCGATCGGTTCACTTTGCCACCTGACAAAGTTCAAACACCTGGAGTGCTGCCGGACACACTTGTTGAATCGCTCCGGCAACAAATGCGTGATTTACCGGCCAAGAAAAAGTATCCTCCCAAGCCCAAGGCTGGTGAGGCGGCGGTCGGTGAGAAAAAGGACAAAAAGAAGAAAGACAAAAAGAAAAAGAAGGACAAAAAAGGGTCCGAATGAATGCTTCAATTTTCCTCTCTTGATGTGATGCGCTTGTCGACTGGCTGAAAAAGATTTTGCGGCAATGGCAACCATTGACTCAAGATTGAATCAATGAGGTCATCATGAATGAATGAGTCATGAATAAATATTTTCACGTCACATCATTGTCATTTGTCGTCAGCACTCACTAGTTGGCTGAGGTGTTCCAACTGTTGTCTTTTGTCGTCAGCACTCACCGACTGATGACTTGCCATGGCCCCAGGTTCGCTCACTGTATAGGTCTACAAAACAGCAAGAGATTATGATTGCAAGAGTGGCTCACTCTCAGTGTCAGTGTCACTGAGGCTCAAGTCACACATGAGGACAAATGACAGTAAAAACCACCAGACCAATTACAAATATCAAAAATAATAATATCTGACAATTAGTATATATTACTTATATACTGATTACTACCTGGTCTTATGTCAATCATTGACATCACCCTGGCAGAACTGTGACACCATCGATCCAAAGATGATGTCGTCCATGATGATTCCAATCATGGTGATGGCAAACTCTGCCCCTACTGGCACTTTTGTGAAAGTGAAGAAGGTCAATCGGAAACAGAGAAGAAGGTGCAGTAGACACGGGACATCGTCTACAAGTACAGCTGATGATGTGAGTGTGGAGCCAACCCACAGTGCCTCAGGTGAAACTTTAAACCAGGCCATGACTGAAAGCCACACTGGTCACCATGAGCTAGCAGAGGAAATTCATGAGGCATGTCACCGAAAGTTGATGGACTTTTTGGAATGGGCAACTTTTCCAATCACATCGTTTCTTGTCAGATTTCATGTTAGCAAGTTTTGTTTTTGAAATTTGTGTATTGATTATTGCGTTTTTGGCATTTCGCTTTGAAGGGTTGTCTTTGCACTCAGTCTGACATGCTGCGATCCTCAACCGCTTTCAGGCTCAATGACATGCTCACTACAAACCTTGTTTCGTTGGAGCACAACATCAACAAGTTCTTGCTCTTGGACCAGCAGATCAATGATGGCCACATTTTCAATGTGTGGCCTGCCATTCTCTCAATGTGTTACCCGTTCTTGGCCCACAAGCACCTCCGTGACTGCTTGATCATTGTTGTGTTGAGAGGTTGGCACAACAAGATGAAACTCAATGCGTACCACTTTGTTGAAGTGTTTGCTGGATGTGCAAACCTTACACTTGAACTGCTCAGAGGCGGCTACCGTGGCAGCGCATTTGACATTGTCTTCGAGTCGTGCCACAATGCACTGAGTCGCAACGGGTTGCGATTGCTTTTGGATGCGATCACCAGCCTCCGAGAGGGAGGACTTGTTTGGATCGCAACTCAATGCAGTTCGTTTGTCGTCCTTTGTCGACACCAGTCCCAAAGATGTGAAGCCAATGGCTTTCTTGGGAATACCCAACGGCCCTTTGTGGTGCTGGGCAACCATTTGATGGAGATATCATGTATCTTGTTTTTGGTGGCCCACCTTGTGGGGTTGCATGTGGTGATCGAACAACCAGTTTCATCCGTGATGCCACTCTGTCGATCGATGAGATCTGTGCTGGAGGTGACAACTTCAAGGAGATTCAGTACGTATATGGGCTCATTCAACGGGCCCTCAGTGAAGCCGCTCCAGCTTTGGAGCCCCTGGCCAAAGGTTGCCCTTCTTGAGAGAGAAAAACCGGTAGGAATTGTGACCGACCCACTGGTGATACACCATGGGGATCAATTCACCGGCTGTAAAGATAAGTTGGCTGAGTCCCAACAATATACATGTGAATTTGGACAGGCGGTCATGGAAATTTGCAAAACTGAGTGGTCTAGCTAAGTTGCCACTGAGTGTCAATTAATTTGGGCTGTGCAGCCTGGTAGTCGCTTGGCATGATGAGACAAATGAACTATCATGTTTTAGCGTTCTTTGATGTGAGTTGACAAGCACTGCACAGTCTGATCAATGCTGCAGGGTGTTGATAGCAGACTTCAATGGGAGATCAAAACAGGTGCCTTCAGTATAGCCACTCAAGTAATTTGAAAAGATCACACCCACATGTCACTGAAACATACTGAAGCCATATTGTTGGTTTGATGTTTTTGGAATGTTTTTTTTTGCGCCGAGGCCCAGTGAAGATGAACGACATTGGTGGGCTTTTGGGTGGCGCACACTAGCGCACACTTGCGAAACTGGTCACGTGAAACTTGTTCAGTGGTATAGTTCTCAGCAACTTTGGGTTGATGTTCACCACTTTCCCAACTGCATATGGAATACCTAAAAATACCAAAAAAGCCTAAAAATGCAAAAATATGCAAAAAAAATGCAAAAAAAAAGATTTTAAAATATAAAAGAAGAAAAAACAAAAATTTAAATGAAAAAAATGTTTAAAAATAAAATAAAATAAAATAAAAAAACAAAAAAAACATTAAAAATACTTTTTAATACACCCCCCCTCTGATCTATTCTGGTCTGATCTGTTACTGAGAATTTTTTTAGTGAGTAAACTAACATAGATGTGGGTTGCAACACCATCTGCAATATGGATTTTCCACATCGATGTTAGATGGATTATCCAATTAACCATGGTATAAACCATTAATATAAACCATTATACCATTAGTATACCATTAGTAAACCATGGTTTATCAATTTTCCATGTTAGTTTACACTACGACTGGATTTTAGCATCCCACTTGGGGATATAAACCATGAGCATAACTGGCGCTGTAAACTAAAAACCATCTACATCCGTGCGGCAGCCCCAAGTAATCCTCTCATCCATAGTTTATAAACCAAAAAGAATAGACCTATCTACCATAAACTCTAGTTTATTGGAGTTGTAAGAGTTACAATTCCGCTGCCTTGACTTTATGGTAGGTATATCTATAATTCCTATGGTTTAGTAACAATTCTAACCCAGTAGATATAAACCATAGTAATCCAACTAGATATAACATATGATAACCGTATATAGATATATCTATAGATCTCAATTATCTATAAATTATATGATGTCTATAAATTATTAAATATACACATATAAAATAGATCAATAATATATCTAGATATAACAGATCAATAATATATCATTGTTATATCCGTTATTATTATTGATTTTTTTAAATCTGTTAAATAAAATTATTGATCTATTATATATGTTATATATGTTATGATTATTGGTCAATTATTATAATAACCCAATATATCTATATTATAATAATATATAATAAACTATATTTAAATATTAATAATTAAATGATATCTATATTTATATGTATTATTATATGAACTCTCTCTCTCTATATATAAATATATATATAACATCTATATATCTGGATAAATCGTAATATTTCACTAACCTGAATAGTTTGGCCATTTCGTGGATGATTCCCCATCTGAACCATGATTCCAGTGAGGGAGAACAGTGAGGTCCTTACAATTTGCCCAGATATATATATATATATATATACATATACATACATACGTATATATACTGGTTGGTGGTTTCAGATTGGCTTCAACCCCTCTGAAAAATATGAATTCGTCAGTTGGGATGATGACATTCCCAAATGAATGGAAAAATAAAATTCATGTTCCAAACTACCAACCAGATATATATGATATATAACCCTTTTTTAGTGAACTCAACGGATAATTCCCAACGATCTCAGGTGCTCCGCGCCCCGCGCCTGCGCCTGTCCTGGAATCGAAGCAATGAGGCCCCCAACAACGGCCACAGACCCTCGGGGTTCAGCCTCGGCTGTGAGTTTTAGCTGGTTATTTTGGGGGGGAACATCGGGATTTAAGTCGCAAAACCCAGGATTTTTAGGATTTACCTAGCCAAAATGGTTATTTATAGGAGTTGACTAGCAAGAATTTGGTGATTTATAGTTAGTTTAATTTAGTTTAGCTGATTCAAGTTGATTTAGGATACCTGTAAGTTGATTCATATAATCCAATAACGATTGGGTTTATGATAGATATTTTGAACCAAATAAAGGGCTGAACAAAAACCAACCTTCACAGAACTGGGGGGCTCACCTTGTAGCCCATCTGGCGGATCAGGTTGGAATACCGGTATGGTCCAGGAATAGGAAAAAAACTAAGGGAACATCATCCAAAACTCATGCCTTTTTCATTCATGGAGCGTACTCTATGATGCAACTTCACTTTCGTCAGTATGTGGCTTCATTGATATAAGATACCAGTATATAGGGGATCTATCCCAACACATGCTGGTTTTCGCTATGGTCCTAGCATGTGCTAGCCAGCAAAACGAAATCAGTTTTTAAAACACACATCAACAAATACATGGAAAAAACAATCCCCAATTCACGCAACAAAACTTTCTAAATGGTCCCATTGTAGTACCCCGGGAATTTCCTACATCAATCTTAACTATTTGCGATACTTATAATCCCGTCCCCCTATTACTAAACCCCACCAAATAATAAAAACTAGGGCCCATCTCTAATTTGGAAAATTTAAGGTTGGCCAATTTGACTTTTAATTGATCCCCTTTAGAAAACAATTTAAAAAATAAAACTACTATTTGTGGGTTCCCCCCCCTAATAATAAAAACTAGGCAACCCCGAGGTGTTTTTATTAGGGTCCATCCGGAAATAGTTTTTTTCATTAAGGGTTTAAAATCATTATTACGGTCCGCTTCGAATTTCACTTTTTGGCAATAACATTAATTGATTTTGAAATCACAAAAAAATGTTTTTTTTGAATTACGGGTTTAAATTTATACTTAGGGTCCGCTTCGAAATCCAATTTTTGGCAATATTTTAATGTTATAAAAGGAAGTTTAATTGATCTTGAAATCGGAAAAAATAGTTATTTTACTAAGGGTTTAAACCCTAATAATAAATACACCCCTAATAATAAAAACTACCTGAGGTGTTTATTATTTGGGGAGGTTAGTATTAGGGGGAAGGGATTATATCAACATAATGGGGCATAACTATTATATGTCGGATATCCCATGTGTGTATATATATAATATACTGTACACATATATTCTGAAAATATAACATGTATATATCCCAGTATTTGTATATATTATTCTTTATACCCGGTCAAGGGATGGAGACCGAGACGAGACCCGCACGACTGCACCACGTAGGGCCGATCCCTGGCACAACCAGATCCCACCGATCGCGAATTGAGCAGTGCTAAAAATCCCTCTGTCATTCCATTACTGGTTGGTTAAGAATGGGATTCCCCATTTTTGGATTCCTATAATCTTCAATATGGTGGGTAGTTATAAATCTACCCTTTGGAGTTATGTTCATCAAGCTGGCTATCAAAAAACGGGTGCCTTAACTTGTAGTTCACATGCTTTCCAGATGGTGTGTAAACCCCATGAATACTACAGCTAGATCCCATAAACCCAAACGTTAACAAAGTTATTTGCGTCAGCTTAGCCTAAACGAGGGCCTCACCTTGGGTCAATATGATATTATGTGCCCCCAATGTGAGCATACCAATAGTACCACACAAGGCGGTGGCTGAAGTTTCAAAGATAGGAAACCTACAGGAGAGGTCAATTGTTGTGATGCGTGGATGGCAGAGCAAACCCACTGACGGATCGACAGGTGGCTGAGGCTGTGAGTCTCTCTCTCTCTCTCTCTGTCTATATCTAACTATCTATCTGTCTGCCTATCTGTCTATCTGTCTATTTGTCTGTCTATCTACCTGTCTATATGTTTATCTGTCTACAGTATCTATCTATACACTACAGTATCTATACAATATCTATACAGTATCTATAGAGTATCTAGACATTATCTATCTTTTTATCTATCTGTCTGTCTGTCTATCTGTCTATCTATCTATCCATCTATCTATCTATCCATCTATCTATATTTCTATTTATCTATCTATCCATCTATCTATCTATCCATCTATCTATCTATATATATATATAAAAAATCTATCTATCTATCTATCTGTCTGTCTGTCTGTCTGTCTGTCTGTCTGTCTGTCTATCTGTTTTTCTGAAAGGAAGCAATTATGCGAGACCTCAAAACATGTCTTGCCGAACGAAAATTTCCCGCCGGAGGGTACGGAGGGAGGATCATTCCACGAATCGTGAGTGGTGAATAACCATGGCTAGTACCCTCTGGTAAACATACAAAAAACTATGGAAAATCACCATTTTTATGGGTAAATCCTGCACTATCCATGGCCATGTTCAATAGCTTTTTGTATGTTTACCAGAGGGTAAGTCCCCCGATCCTTGGGCTATCCCATGTATAAGTGGGTGAACCAACCCAAGGGAACCTAACTACTAAGGTCGACGATCCTCCAAATATCCCTATATTGTATCCCCATTTGGTTCATAACTTCGGCATATCTGGGGATATATTTGGTTCATAACTATGAAATATCAACCTTTGGGTCATAACTTATCTGGTTGGTGGTTTCAATCCCTCTGAAAAATATGAAAGTCAGTTGGGGTGATTATTCCCAACTGAATGGAAAAATAAAATTCATGTTCCAAACCACCAACCAGTTATCCATATCATGGGACATTTGCTTCGTGCGTAAGTCCCCATTTCTATACATTCTCTCCTTGCCAGTCAGGATTCCCACGATGCTTGGTGATCCTCCATGTATTCTGTGGTAAAGCCAGTAGTAAAATCATCACCAAAATCAACATGGGTATAATAATAGATATTACTATACTGGGTATAGCAATATGGGTATAGCAATAGACTATAACCCAGAACAAAAAAACATCACCAAATGCTATAGTTTTTTGAGTTTTGTAATGAGTATAGTAATGGTATTAGTATAGCATCACCAAAACCAAATGGTTTTTCATGGCTATAGTCATATGGGTTACTGTACACCAAATGGTTTTAGTACTATTAAACCATCGCCAAATGGTGGCGTATTATCATTGCCAATCTTAGATACTGCGCCATAAATCTAACTTTTAGCTGGTTAGGACTAATTTTACCATTGATAGCACACGATTAAAGTACTAGTTGGTATCTAACCAGTCGGTTGACCCAAAGATCTAGAGATCTACCACAAGTCCTAGCAATTAGATGAATTTGCACAATTTGCTGCACCAACTTAGCTATAACTTGGTTTATAAACCACAGGAACTATATATATATATATATACATAACATAAACCAAAGTTAACCAAGTTATTATT